TCTGGGGTGTTGAGCATAATAGTTTATTGAAAAGCAATTGGAAATCGATTCATGTACAAGCGTGTCATGTGTGAAGAACGGACCTCTAACTAATCCATCCAAAACAACCAATTTCGTGCAAATCTGTTTAGTTCTAGTTTCTGTTTTGTTTTACTTTATTTTCGTCCAAAACCCAATCCCCTTTACTTTAGTGTGTCTAATTAGTTAGAATTTGTTTTAGTTTGTGTTTTTAAGTGTTTTGAGTCTATAGAATCTAGTTAAGTGTTTTTAAGTTTCTTTTTGTAAGTCAGATTAGTTTAGATTAGCAATCCCTCCTAATCCCTAGTCCAGAACGATCCTTACTTATACATATACTACAATTGTCAAAAGAGGGTTTAATTTGAGTGCTTAACTTTCATCGCATCAAATTTTGGCGCCGTTGCCGGGGATTAGCAATTTTGCTAACCCCTTGTTATTTCTTTTTGTTTATTTTCATGTTTTTTTGTTTTAGTTACTGACTTTGTTTCTATATGTGTCTCTTATTTTTACTTATGATATTTGATTTAGTTTTGTTTCCTTGATTTCAAGTACTAGAGAAGTAAGACATGAATTTTGCTACTATTCAAGCTCAATTGGCGAAACTTACTTCTCAATTGTCACAATATGCCGAAAGGACCACAATGCAAAGTGTCCCTACATATGGTGTGTCCTATGGGCAAGGATATCCAACTCATCAATGTTCTCAATTCGCTACGAATGAAGATGCTTGGGGTTACCGAGGTTATAGCTAATCAGGGGACAACATATTTTCCAACGCTTACAATTCGGATTAGAGAGATTATTCAGATTACATGTGTGGAGAACCGCAACAATTCCAACAAGATGGATATTGGCAGCAAGAAAAGGAGTTCTATCACTGGCCATATGAACCATCGCAGCCACCACAACCTCATATACAATATGCCCAATCAAACTCAGACTCGTCAATAGATTACAATCAAATTCTTAATGAATTAAACTCTTTGGTGCATGGCTCACAACAAGAAGAATATCTGCCGCCATCAGAGAAGTTCTATCACTGGCCATATGAACCGTCACAGTCACCACAACAATCTGCCCAATTCAATTCAGGTACGTCTTTGGATGATGATATGTTTAATAAGTTACTCACCTCTTTGAATCAGAAAGTAGAAAATCAAAACAAAAAGATACAAAATCAAGCCAAGAAGACGAGTGAATTAGAGAAGCAAACTGGGCAGATTATGGAGTTCATGGCACAAATTCAAAAGCAAAGTGAACTCCCCAACTTAACTATTGAAAATTCGAAGGAAGATTTTGAAATCCATGATGCTATCACTTTGAGAAGTGCTATGGAGGTTGGAGCTAACCTAAAAACATCCAACATAGCCTAGAAGTGGATGAGGAGCTGCTGATTGAGGAGGAGGAAGAAGACATACACACGGAAAGGGTAGAACAACCCTTGTCGCAGCCCCTTAAGCCCTCTAAACCACCCACCACAAGTAAAGACGTCCCAATTTCATTTCATTCTAATGTTATTCCTCCGAACGTCCTTTTTCCTCGTAGGTTTTTGATTCCCAAGAAAGAAGAGAGTGAAAAATACATCGTGGAAGCCCTCCCAAATGTGCCAAATGGGGTAGATAAAATATGAAATTGTGGTGTAAGGTAGATGATAATGAGAAGGTATTTATAGAAAAGTAAAAACAATTTTTTTTTTAAATTTTTCAGATTTTTTACAATTTTTTTTAAATTTTTATTCAACTAATTAATCTCTACCGTTGGATTTTAAAAAATTTGAATTCCAACACTCCAGATTGTACCACGTGGCACAATGGTAACTTTTCATAATTTTAAATCTATTTTTTATTTTTAAATTTATAAAGCAGAATAATATCAACCGTTGATCTCAGATCCAACTGTTGATATTAAATAAGATTTATTTTTATTTTTATTACCATTGCAAATCGGACGGTCCAATTTAAAGAGCCATTGAGATCGAGCGGACTGTGGGAAGCCACATGGCTTCCCAACGGTAACCTCGGCAGACTGTGACGCGGGCCCATCCTCTGAAAATCTGTCGGCTGACGCGCCCCTACGTGCGGGTGAGGCTCATGCGCCTGATAGAAAAATATATAAAATAAGGCTGACACTAGGATGACATCAGCCCTTGCGTCATATCCACCCATGCTTTCGGGCTGGCAACTCCTCATAGGCCCGCAGCTCCGACCCAGCCTGTCCCTCGGACTGCCACACGGTGGAGCAGTTCAATCGGGCAATCTGGCCCTATTTGATCGCCTTTCCCTAGAGCACCAGCCCACGCTGGAGTTACTCTGAAAGAGAGAGGTCGGTGCCTTCCTTCCTGCCTCGAATAAATATCAAACAAAATCAATTATATACTTTTACACGCCAATGGCCTTTTTATCTTCCGACTAGACTACTTACTGACTAGACTACTCACCACTCATCAGATGGAGTTTTGAAATTCAAACACAAAGGAAGATGGACAGACAAACAGACAAAGATGGTAAACTCCAAGCTACGTATGTTTACCTAGTTAGTTGTCACATCCCATCATCACATGTGCTTGCACGAAAACCCTCCTAAGCTTTTCCATTAACTTTTCATCCATAATCAAACTAAAGTAGATTGGTCAAGATCACAAGTACGTCGTTCAATTCAATCATGCGTGCACCAAAACAAAGATAAAAAGAATATAATTTTAATGAAAAACTTACGATACTGTTTATTTTGACAACAAAAAATTATTTTTTTACATTAAAAAGTCAATTCTGGTACTATTCATTTCATCATTTATTTGTAATTTTCGTTAAAACATAAAGTTTTCAAGTCATTTTCATTAGTTTTCTCTAAAAGAGAATTATAGAGAATGGCTTAAATGATATGAATTTGTATGCATTTTAATTCAATAATACAACATTTTCATTTGTAAATTATTTTCATGCAACATTGTATTATTCAACTAAACGCCAAATGATGGTCCCTTTTTATGCAAGTTGTTCTCCAGGTCTATGAGTAAAAGTTGAAGGGAGAAGAAAAATGATTCAAATGAAAATGTTCCTACCGTCAAGGATGGGCAAGAGCCATGGGGGTTTCCGATTCATGATGGACTTGTTGCTGCTGCTTGAACTACTTCTTGGACTTGGAGGAGCCGACGACTTAACTGAAGGAGGAGGAGGAGGATTTGATGAAGCTGATGATGTTGTTATTTGTTTCTTCTCCGCTGTCGGTCTCATCGACATGTCTCGAGACTCTCAAGCCTCCTACAGCACCTTCATAAAAGTGAGTAAATTAAATTAATAAAAGAAAAGCAAAATACAGACATTGGTTCGCTGTTCATGAACAGTATAAACTTTGTGGAAACAGAAAAAGTAGGAGTAAGGTTTCATTTCTGAAACGCATTTAAGATGGAGACCGTACGTACACCTTTTTGTACAAGACATTAAAGCGCAGATGAGATAGCAGAAGCAGCACCACCACACAATCCTATTTCTTCGCCTTGTAGTACAAGACATTAATTAAAGCGCAGATCTGGAGGAAGAGGAAGAAGAGCAATGAATTCGAAAAATAATAAGTACAAGGATTGTCTGCCCTGTTCTCGTGTCTTTCCATGTCCTTTGTTTGTGTGGTCACGGTTAAATCACGTTAATATTTTATATTACTATTTATTTTTTTTCCTTATTATTTTTATAAAAAAAACAATATAAAATGTTGACATGGCTTAACCGTGATCGTACAAAACAGGAGGATACAGAAAGATACAGGAACAAGAAGGGCAGACCATCCTTGTCCAAATAATAATGTCCTTTTTGGTTTACAAAACGATGAGTATCAACACTGTTCATTTCACATATGTGTGTGTATCCCAAGGCGTTGCCCACCAAACCACCAGATTCCTCACTCCTACAAAGCCCCCCAATCACGTGCCACCACGTAGACAGAGAAAGAAAGAAGAAATGGAAAAAGAGAAGCGTGAGACGCACCCTACGGCATAAGGTAGGTACCAAAGCGTCGATAAGGCATCAAACATCTCACGACGTGGTGAGGCACCCCCGTCTCCGTCACCTTTGTTCACCTATTTTTTGTTTCACATTAAAACAAAACAAATTATTTCCACATTAACTAATAATTATTTTGTTTGAATATTAATGAAATGTTTATTTACCGGTATTGTGATTCAATAATTTCAATTCAATTCAGTTTATAATTTTTTCCTATCGATATTAATACACTAAGTTGAAGTTGAAGGTTCTGACCGCCACGCCACTAATTACATAATTTTTTAAGTATTAAATTACTAATTACATTGTGTAAGTGAAAATTTTCTTTATTTTGTGCGTGCAAGAAAAAAAATCAAAACAAACATGTTTATTACAATTACGTGCTTTAAATGAGAGACGTTATAAATCAGAGAAGATACAAAAGAAAATGTTACATTTTCTTAATTTCATGTCAAAGACAACCTTGTCACCACAAGCCTGCAATTGATATGTTTCATAATTTTCAAGCATTTGGTTACAAATTATAATATTAAAAACGTGTTTTTTTTGGTAACTTTTTCTTTTTGCATGTTCTTTTCTATTTATGATTGTCAAGTTGAATAAATAGAACAAATATTGTACACAGATTAAGTGTACAAAATAATATGTGATTATTAATTCTCTGCCTTCTAATTTTGTTAGTAAATAAGCATACAATATAGAAAAAAAATTCCAAGTCTATAAATCTTAACACATTTGATTAATTAAAAGGAAAACTAATGAAAATGGCTTGAAAACTTTGAGTTTTAATGATAAGGACAAAATAAAAGGTAAAGTGAATAGTAACAAGATTGATTTTTTAGTGTAAAAATGTGATTTTTCGTTAAAATGAACAGTACGGGTGCTTTTCGTTAAAGTTCCGTTGATTAAATGACAACATTAATATTTCATTAAACCAAAAATAAATACATAAGCCAAAGACCCAAACCAGACCCAGGAAATCAAATCAAATATATATACTGAACAAGGTTGTCTTGTCTTTCCAGAGATTAGAGAGAGAGAGAATGGGGAAGACCATGGCGGTGGGAGTACACTGCATCATCGCCTTGCTAATTCTGTCCGGTGCGGATCTAGTCAGGTCCGACGGGTCCGATCATCGGTACAAGGAAGGAGATTTTGTCCCTCTGTATGCCAACAAGGTCGGCCCGTTTCACAACCCCAGGTAAAACCCCAACACTCCACCCTGCTCGATCTCAAAGGTCCATGCTTTCTTAGCTCAATTCAGCTTCTGGGTTTGTTGTTCATTTCACTGTTAATTGTTATGGATCTGAGTTTATTCCCACCCATTTGTTTGGTTACTGAGAAAATTTGCATGATTTACAAGTTCTGGTTCAACTGGTATAAGCTAGACACTGTGATTTGGAAATTGAATTTTCATTGGCTATGTGTAAATATCAGAGCTTGATCTGTTTTTTAAAAGATTTGATTTGGGTTCTTAAGTCATTTGCCATCAAGTTCTTTTCGTCGAAATAGCATGTGTATTGTTCTTCGAAGCTTAACTCTGTTTTTGCTAAACTAGATAATAAATTGTACGTTAGTTTGATTCTGGTGGAAATTTGGTGTTCCTGTTGGTCTAAATTTTTGTTCTTTTTGTATTTTTTGGGTGCTTCCAGTGAAACGTACCGATACTTTGATCTCCCATTCTGCTCACCAGGTTTGTATCAAATCGATTCGTTTCTTTCATATTTACTTCCTTCACAATACGTGTTCATGTTCTCCGACGAATTGAATTTACCTAATTATTTGGATCCTAATTGCAGATGCGGTGAAAGAGAAAAGGGAAGCTCTTGGTGAAGCATTGAATGGGGATCGTTTAGTCAGTGCCCCTTACAAACTTGAGTTCCTAAGGCATAAAGATACCGAAGTAGCTTGCAAGAAAACACTCACAAAGGAAGAAGTAGCCCGGTTCAGATCTGCTGTCAACAAGGACTATTACTTCCAGATGTATTATGATGACTTGCCCACTTGGGGTTTCATAGGGAAGGTTGACAAGGAAGGCAAAGACCCGAGCGAGTACAAGACCTACCTTTATGAGCACATTCATTTTGATCTCTATTATAACAAAGAACGCGTGATTGAAGTCAATATTCGAACAGATCCAAATGCACTGGTTGACCTTACTGAGGATAAAGAAGTTGATGTTGAATTCATGTATACTGTGGAGTGGAAGGAAACAACCACTCCTTTCGATAAGAGGATGGATAAGTATTCTCAGTCCTCATCCTTGCCTCCTCTCGTCAATGCCTATGAATTATATACTATCACTAGACCTCTAATCACCAACCCTAAAGATGGTTAATTATTTTTCTACTCCTTAATCCCATTTCATTTAATCAATTAACATGTGTATTTGTATCTTCGACATTCATTATTTCATCTGATATATAATATTTTTGTGCCTCATAATTGATTCAGTGGAAGGGCTAGAAAAACTGGGAAGTGTATTTGAAGGACTGGAAAGAGGATATGATACGCAAGATAAACTTAATGGTGATCCTTGGTCTTTCAGCCTCGTTAGTAGTGAACTGGTATGAATGTACTAATTTTACTACCGGTCGTCGTGTAACATCATCGTAAGTAGTGTATATATAAACTTTTCTCCATCTTTCTTTGTTTACTACCCAATTTTTCTAAATGTATAGTTTATCAGGTAAAATCCAAGTTTTATCATGTCGAAATGAAACAGTTTTGATCAATACATATGCAGTTACTTATATACATATAATTGAACTTCTGATCATGTCGAAAATGAAAAAACATACAGGAATCTCAGCAGCCAACGCTTGTCTGGCCCAATTCCAGACTTTGGATCCATGGATGCGCTGCTGGAAATGTGAGTTGTATGTAATTATATATTCAAATGTTCCGTAAACAATTGCATTGATCTAATAATTAATTTTTAAGATTCTAATGAATTTCTCTCTTTCGATTTATAGTGATTTTCACAACAACAGCTTGAATGGACCTATTCCGGATTTCCTTGGCTCCTTACCTAATCTAGAACTACTGTGAGTTTCATGATTTAAATGATTTAAACAACCGTAGTAGCTAGCACTATAGGGCCGGATTCGATAACACCTGTCTTTTGTTTTTCAAATTCTTCTCAGGGATTTGTCAGGGAACAGACTCACTGGATCCACACCTACCTCTCTTTCAAATAACGAAAACCTTACGTTAGAGTAAGTGAAACGTTTCTCGACCTACTTCATATGTTTCAGTTCTTTATTTGATTTGATGTTTCTAGAAATCTGTTAGTTCCATTATCTTTAACGTAACGTTTCCTAAAAGGCTATGGCCTTGTTTGGCAGCTCGAACTGTACTGTTTATTTCTATCAGATAGGATAAATAGCCACCAGATAGTACTAACTAAATTAGTCGGGCGTTTGGTGCAGTATCGGATTAATAACCGTATTATTTATAGTGTGTTTGGTATTATACCGGATATGAGGAATTCAAACAAAATATTCCTTTATTTAAATAAAATAAAATAAAATTAAAATTTAAAAAAAAAAATCATCATTTTTGTTCCCCATCTCTCCGCCGCACCCCCCAAACTCCCTCCCTCTCTCCCTTCTTCTTCTTCTTCCCCTGCAATTTCAGTCAAGAACCTCTGCAAATACTCCATGTTTCTTTGCAAGACCCAATTGCAGAAGAAATGAAATCATCTCTTTTGTTCCCCAGATCTCTCCGCCGCAACCCCAAAATCCGTCCCGCCCTCTTCCTTCTTCTTCTTCCCTTACAATTTCAGTCAAGAATCTCTCCCCAGTTGTAGAAGAAGCCCAAAGGAAGATGTGTGATGGCTAGGACTCAGAGCCTTCGACGCGCTACGGCTAGGCCTCGGGGCTCTTGTAGCAGAGGAGGACGTGGCGGTCATAGGTGTTTGCGGTGCCGACAAGAACGAAGACGGGGAGAACAACGTCGGTGAGAGGAGGTGTCTTGGAGAACGAAGTGCGAAAGAGAGGGAAGGGAACCAGACTAATAATCCACTCCTTTTGGAAGGGTTTATTATGCAGGTGTATACCCTACTAAATAGGCAGACTGACTAAATTAATCCGGTGACTATTTAATACAGGAGGGCACCAAACAACCGGTGCTCTATACGGTGTGCCAAACGAGGCGTTTTTTTTTCAAACTGTTTCGTCAGCGTGACCGAGAATGCAGGGCTACTACCCCCTTCTCCTTCAGGAGGCAAGGAATGCGGTACTGACAAGCTACAGATGATACTCGGTGGCATAATTCTTTTTTATATGTTCGGTACCTATTAAAAAGTTTGCCTAGTTTGATAGTCAACCGCCATGCTCACTATGAAACTAAATAAATTGTAGTTTGTATAGGTGCTTCATTCCATTTCTCTTGCAAGAAGAATTAAAGCGGTATGGTGCCATCGCCATGCCGGGATATTGTGATTTGGTAGACTAATTCAACTTTGCAACACTCTTCTGTTTATTTTATTTTTTTTATCATATATCACCATATTTTACATTAAAGCGTTGGGGTCTGGGATTGACTCCTATGAACGAGGATCCTCTCCGGATCCTACCTCTCTGGATCTTATGAGAATTTTGGAAATCCTTCAATTAGATCCGTTTATCGTATATTGTGCAGTTAAAAATCATTGTAAATTTTTTAATATAAGATATAGAAGATACATATACATATACATGTGTGTGTATATATATATATATATATAGATAGATAAGATATACTGAACGTGGTTGTCTTGTCTCTCCAGAGATTAGGGAGAGAAAGAGAGAGAATGGGGAAGACCATGGCGGTGGGAGTACATTGCATCATCGCCTTGCAAATTCTGTCCGGTGCGGATCTAGTCAGGTCCGACGGGTCGGATCATCGGTACAAGGAAGGAGATTTTGTCCCTCTGTATGCCAACAAGGTCGGCCCGTTTCACAACCCCAGGTAAAACCCCAGCACTCCACCCTGCTCGATCTCAAAGTTCCATGCTTTCTTAGCTCAGTTCAGCTTCTGGGTTTGTTCATTTCACTGTTAATCGTTATGTATCTGAGTTTATTCCCACCCATTTGTTTGGTTACTGAGAAAATTTGCATGCTTTACAAGTTCTGGTTCAACTCGTATAAGCTAGACATTGTGATTTGGAAATTGAATTTTCATTGGCTATGCGTAAATATCAGAGCTTGATCTGTTTTTGAAAGATTTGATTTGGGTTCTTAGTCATTTGCCATCAAGTTCTTTAGTCAACCTGTGTTTTGTTTTCGTTGAAATTGCATGTGTATTGTTCTTCGAAGCTTAACTCTGTTTTTGCTAGACTAGATAATAAAATTGGAAACTTTCTTCGGTCAGTTTTCTAATACATATAATAAGAAATGTCAAAAACAAATACATATACTGATCTAAAAATTTAAGTACGCCATGAAGAGATAAATAAAAATTACGATTTACAAATGTCAAAGCAAACATACGAGGAGAAAGTACTCTTCAAATTGCTAATCTCACATATTACTCTAAGCTAACCACAATAAACTCTTCTACCACAACTCTTAGCCTGCAAATATGAATAAAGGTTAGAATTCACGTCTTATTGCAAACATAAATATACTCTCATTCTGCTGAATTGTGAACTGAGAAACAAATGCATGGATGTAGGAAAAGATTTATAAGATCTTTAAAAATGTATTAAAAAAAAGGGTAATCGTCCTTTTATAAATGCTTTATTATACTTTGTACCTCATATTTTCAATACAAATTTAACTATTGGTCTCAAATCTTTCATTGGCAACCTTTTTTTTTTCAAAGGTTGTACTACAGTATTGTATTTCAAAATATCTTGCAATTTGCCAATTAGCTTTGTAAGATTTCTTTAAAATGTTTAAAAACTGTTGATAAGCACATATCGTCAATAAATTATAATCTATTTCTTGGACGGTAGCTTGGATCGCATCTTTCTTTCTACATGATTGAATGAAGAAGGAAAAAGTTAGTAACAAATAGATTATTAAGTTAAAAGATTGGCGTCATGTTTGAGATTTGCTTATAAAATGACTAAAAAGTTTTTTCCATCACCTAAAAGCAATTCTAACATTGTTTCACATAAATTACTAAGAAAACCCGACCAGTTAAAGTTAGCTTTAAAATTATTTATTAAAAAAATTAAATTGCATTGGAGTAACGGAAGATTTATAATATCCTAACTTGAAAGGCTCATTGTCCTTTAAAAAGCGATTCCGGAGACATATTTCGGCCAAACTGGAATCCTTTGTTTCAGAAACAGAAAAACACAAAAAAATATTCTTAACAAAAATAATTACCTGAGGTTCCATTTAGCGCAAACATAAGGGCCAATCTGGAGATTAACAAATAGGCCTGCTTGTTACACCAGCATGATGAATTTGACCAAATTATATCCGTCCTCAAAATAATACTGCAAATTTGAAAAACAGAGCAAAACCAATAAAATAAAATAACCAGAGGCAAAGTAATGAGAGACAGCAGGCCAACCTAGAGTTTGAGTTAGAATAACAGTAAAAAAAAAAAAAACTAATGAAAAAAGTTTGGAAACTTTGAGTTTTAATAATAAAGATAAAATAAAAGATAAAGTGAATAGTATCATGATTGACTTTTAGTGTAAAAATGTGGTTTTTCGTTAAAATGAACAGTATCGCAAATTTTTCGTTAAAATTTTTTTAAAAAAAAATCACGGCTTCTCACAATTGTTAATAATTGTTTTTGCATGTATTCAATTTTTTTATAATTTTTTATTGTTTGCTGTGCCACAAACATGTGGCCTGGTTTAACTCTTATTTTTTAAATATTTTTTTTGTCCATCCCGTCAGTTTTTCAATTATTGTTTCATCTTTTCTGCCCCACAAATGCTGCATGTGAGTTTAAAAAACCAAGAACACAAGATGAACATTGCTTCCCCACCCCCCCCCAACATCACATTTATTATCTCTTTTTCGAATGGCCCTTCGTTGCTTCCATCACGCAACTGTGGCATCCCTCTTGTCCTCTATCTTTTTGAGGAATGGATCTTCGCATTTATTATCTCTGTTCGAGGAATGGGTCTTCGCATTTTTTCTTTTGGTTGTTTTTTCATAGGCTTCGAATGTAGCACAGAGGGCAGTACATTCTGACGAGAGACAGAGGACAAAACGGATTTTTGATTGTAGCAAAGTGTGAACGGTACGGGACCCAAGCAGAAACCAAAGGCGGTTCCGTCCTTTCACTGTTGGTAAACGGTGTGCTCTCTCACATGATGAACAGTGCCATTCCACTGGGTTTTATATATATAAAATATACTGAACGTGGTTGTCTTGTCTCTCCAGAAATATGTGGACTGTTTTGCACTGTGCACTTTTCCATTGGCTTTATATATATATAAGATAGGTATGTAGATAGATAAGATATACTGAACGTGGTTGTCTTGTCTCTCCAGAGATTAGAGAGAGAGAGAATGGGGAAGACCATGGCGGTGGGAGTACATTGCATCATCGCCTTGCTAATTCTGTCCGGTGCGGATCTAGTCAGGTCCGACGGGTCGGATCATCGGTACAAGGAAGGAGATTTTGTCCCTCTGTATGCCAACAAGGTTGGCCCGTTTCACAACCCCAGGTAAAACCCCAGCACTCCACCCCAGATAATAAATTGTATGTTAGTTTGATTGTGGTGGAAATTTGGTGTTCCTGATTGTCTAAATTTTTGTTCTTTTTGTTTTTTGTTTTTTTGGGGTGCTTCCAGTGAAGCGTACGGATACTTTGATCTCCCATTCTGCTCACCAGGTTTGTATCAACAAATCGATTCGTTTCTTTCATATTTACTTCCTTCACAATACGTGTTCATGTTCTCCGACGAATTGAATTTACCTAATTATTTGGATCCTAATTGCAGATGCGGTGACAGAGAAGGGGGAAGCTCTTGGTGAAGTATTGAATGGGGATCGTTTAGTCAGTGCTCCTTACAAACTTGAGTTCCTAAGGCATAAAGATCCCGAAGTAGCTTGCAAGAAAACACTCACAAAGGAAGAAGTAGGCCGGTTCAGATCTGCTGTCAACAAGGACTATTACTTCCAGATGTATTATGATGACTTGCCCATTTGGGGTTTCATAGGGAAGGTTGACAAGGAAGGCAAAGACCCCCCGAGCGAGTACAAGACCTACCTTTATAAGCACATTCATTTTGATCTCTATTATAACAAGGACCGCGTGATTGAAGTCAATGTTCGAACAGATCCAAATGCACTGGCTGACCTTTCAGAGGATAAAGAAGTTGATGTTGAATTCATGTATACTGTGGAGTGGAAGGAAACAACCACTCCTTTCGATAAGAGGATGGATAAGTATGCTCAGTCCTCATCCTTGCCTCCTCTCGTCGATGCCTATGAATTATATACTACCACTCGGCGTCTACTCCCAAACCTTGAATATGGTTAATTATTTTTCTACTCCTTAATCCCATTTCATTTAATCAATTAACACGTGTATTTGTATCTTCGACATTCATTATTTCATCTGGTATATAATACTTTTGTGCGTCATAATTGATTCAGCGAAAAAGCTAGCTGAACTGCTAAAAGAACTAGTGCAAGAAGGACTAAAACGCTTGAAAGGTGATCCTTCTGACGGTAACTGGTGTAAACGTAACGGGGACTGGTATAACTGTAGTAATCTTCCTACCGGTCGTCTTGTAACATCATTGTAAGTAGTGTGTATATAAACTTTTCTCCATCTCTCTTTGTTTCATTACTACTCAATTTTTCGAAATGTATAGTTTATCAGGTAAGATCCAAGTTTTAACATGTCGAAATGAAACAGTTTTGATCAATACATATGCAGTTACTTGTATACATATAATTGAACTTCTGATCATGTCGAAAATGAAAAAAACAAACAGGAATCTCAGCAGCCGACGCTTGACTGGCCAATTTCCGGGCGCCATTAGGTCCATGGATGAGCTGCAGAAAATGTGAGTTGTATGTAATTATATATTCAAATGTTCCGTAAACAGTTGCATTGATCTAATAATTAATTTTCAAGATTCTAATGAATTTCTCTCTTTCGATTTGTAGTGATTTTCACAACAACTGCATGTATGGAACTATTCCGGATTTCCTTGGCTCCTTGCCTAATCTAAAACTACTGTGAGTTTCATGATTTAATGATTTAAACAACCGTAGTAGCTAGCAATTTCTTCTCAGGAATTTGATAACACCTGTCTTTTGTTTTTCAATTTCTTCTCAGGAATTTGTCAAGGAACAGACTCACTGGATCCATACCTACCTCTCTTTTAAACAACAAAAACCTTACTTTGGAGTAAGCGAAACGTTTCTCGACCCACTTCATATGTTTCAGTTCTTTATTTGATCTGATGTTGCTAGAAATCTGTTGGTTCCATTATCTTTAACGTAACGTTTCCTAAAAGGCTATATGTTTTTCTTTCAAACTGTTTCGTCAGCGTGAGAGAGAATTGTCTCGATGGAATGCCTTGCCGAGCAACGTCCTGTCCAGCCGTGAGAGCCGCGCGACAAACACCCCCTTCTCCTCCACCCCCTTCTCCTCCACCCCCTTCTCGTTCAGGAGGCAAGGAATGCAGTACTCACAAGCTACAGATGATACTCGGTGGCATATTTCTTTTTTATATCTTCAGTAACCAATAAAAAGTTTGCCGAGTTTGATGGTCAACCGCCATGTTCACTATGAAACTAAATAAATTCTAGTCTATGTAAGTGCTTCATTCCATTTCTCTTGCAAGAAGAATTAAAGCGGTATGGTGCCATCGCCATGCCGGGATATTTTGATTTGGTAGACTTAATTCAACTTTGCAACACTCTTTTGTTTATTTTATTTTTTTATCATATATCACCATATTTTACAGTAAAGCGTTGGGGTCTGGGATTGACTCCTATGAACGAGGATCCTCTCCGGATCCTACCTCTCTGGATCTTATGAGAATTTTGAAAATCTTCCAAACATATCCGTTATATCGTGCGGTTAAAAATCATTGTAAATTTTTTTATTTAAAATTAAATATGATTAGTACCTGATGAAAACTGATTGTATGATGTATGATCAACGGACACGATTGGAGGATCCGGAGAGGATTCTCATTCTTAAAAAAAAAAAAAAAAAGCTAATGTTACTTAGAGTTAGGGACTAAATTTGTAAACTAAATAACATAAAAGTTGATTTGTTTATTACTTAAACGTTGGTAAACGTGCTTATTTTTATTGGTGACACATAGTTTAGTTTGTAAATTTTGTATACAAATTTGATCTCTCTAGTATTATTCAAAAAAAAAATGTTGTGACTAAACACAATGAGCCAATATTATTAGTTGCAGTATCTTTTTCAAGGTAATGTTAGAAAGACTAAATTTTGTAAATAAAATATACAAAATTAAATGATATGTCATCAATAAAAAATTAGCACGTTTATCAATAATTCAATTATCAATTTTTATGTCATTTAATTTACAAATTTTGCTTCTCTAACATTACCCTAGTAAGAATCCGTTTTGCTCACTTCTCCTAATCAAATGCGACCTTTATCCTCCTCCATAACTGTGCCATGTGTCTCCATTGCTAACAATGGGTTTACACCCTCAAGAATGTAACGAGAAAGCCTTAAATTAATTTAAAAATGTTACGGTAAGGCAAAAACAGCCATATTTAATGATTATAGCAAGAGTTTACAAACTGATTAAAAATCGTGAGTGTGTATAAACTTACATATGTTGTGAAAAATACAAATCCTTTATTTTTTGCAATATGATTTTCTTGAGCATTAAGTGAAAGTTTGTAAGGCATTTGGAATTGATTTTACGGTTTATTATGCCACAACAGTACTTTTAATAAAATATTTAAATTTCAAATTAAAAATAAGTGAAGAAAATAGTAGTGATATCCAAAATAATGCCAAAACGGTTACACCCACAAGAATATAAACAGAAAGCCTTAACTAATTTTAAAAACATCATGGTTAGAGGAAGGTGAAAACAAATAGAGATAATGATAATTTTTGTACGAGTTTTCAAAATTGACTAAAAAGTATGGCTATCAGTCCACATTTTTGTGAAACCGACATAAAATAGTGAGTGTTAATCCACGTTTTTTTGTAAAAAATATAAATTTTTTATTTTCTCGAAATATTTTCTATGAGTGTTAAGGAAATCTTTATAATGTATTTGAAAGCGGATTTACGATTTATTGAGCAACAAGTGTATATTAGTAAAATATTTAAGCCGAAAAGTAAAAAAAATAAGTGAAAATATAGAGAAGTTAAAATGTATATTTAGTTTATACTTTTTTATTAAAAATAGAGATGTCAAAATCACTTGTAGGTGAGGCTTAAACAACAAATATAAAAAATTTGTTTGGTTAAATAGTATTTAACCCTCTTTTGGTTGACAAAGAGTGTTCTATTAATATGTAGTTTATATATAGATAAAAGAAAAATTAACAAAAAAAAAGGTTCAAATATTTTTAAATTTAAGTTTTAAATCGTTGATTACAAGTGTTTAAATACAAATTATAATAGATTTTGCACAGAAAAGTATTGTTCAAATATCTTTAAATTTAGGTTTGAAATTGTTAATTACTAGTGTTTAAATACGAATTATAATAGATTTTGCACAGAAAAGTATATTTTGAAGAGTATGAATATGATAGTTTGTTGTGGTGGAATGAGAAATAAAAGAAAAATTAACAAAAATGATTCAAACTTTTTGCCACCCCTAAGAATTTTGAATCATTTTTGCACATTTTTCTTTCATTTCTCTTACCATTACAACAAACTATCATATTTACGTTCTTTGTGTGCCATGGTTTACCTCGTTCTGCGTGAGCTGAGTCCACCTTGTTTTACGTGCATCGAGCCCGCCTAACACCCATATTTTTTTGACAAAAATGCAAACTTTTTATTTTCGCAAAATATTTTACCTAAGAATTAAGTTAAACTGTTTGAGAAATTTGGAAGCAGATTTATAGTTTATTGAGCAACAAATGTATATTTAGTCGAATATTTGGGTCAAAAACTACAAAAAAAATTGAAAAACATATTACTGAGGCCTAGAGCATTGCCAAATGGTGATCTATACTCAAGAATCTCAACGGAAAGTCTCCCTTATTTTCAAAACTTTACAGTGAGGCGAAGGTGAAAATAAATAGATTGAACGGTGATTTATGTATGAATTTGCAAAACCGACTAAAAACCGTAAGTGTTAGTCCACGTTTTTCTTTAAAAAATGCAAATTTTTTATTTTCTTGAAATATTTTCCTTGAGCATTAAGGAAATTTTTATAATGTATTTGGAAGCAGATTTACGATTTATCGAGCAACAAGTTTATATTTAGTAGAATATTTAAGTTGAAATGTAAAAAAAATATGTGAAAATATAGAGATGTTAAAATGTATATTTAGTCTATATATATATATATTTTTTTTTTAATTAGAGATATTAAAATCACAAGCACGTAAGGCTTAAACAATAAATAGCAAAATTTTGTTTTGTTAAATAGTCTTTCACCCTCTTATTGTTGACAAAGATGGTTCTATTAATATGTAGTTTTGATTTAGATAAAAGAAAAATTAACCAAAAAAGAGGATAAATATCTTTAAATTTAGGTTTTAAACCGTTGATTACAAGTGCCTAATTATGAATTATAATAGATTTTGCACAGAAAAATATATTTTGAAGAGCATAAATATGATAATTTTTTGTTGTGGTAAGAGAAGTAAAAGAAAAATTAACAAAAATGTACAAATTGATTCAAATTCTTCGGGTAGCAGAAAGTCACCGTGTGACTTCGTGGCAGCCAGCAAGTGCCACCCCAAAAATTTTGAATTATTTTTGTACAATTTTCTTTTATTTCTCCTAACATTACAACAAACTATCATAACCAAAACTGAAAACTGAAAACAAAGCCATACGGATCAAAACTTATACAAAGCAGCGGTAGCGTGGCAAGGCTAAAGCAAAACTGGACAGTGAGTATTTCACAAGATAACTACTAAATTACCTAAAAGAATATCACACAATCATGTACAAGAAGATTTCAAGATGATCCTCTGCCTCCACCGGACCAAACAAAGCGAAGAAAGAACCTATAGAATACAGTGCGTGCAAAATTACATTCTTGGATTACAGCTAATTTTGGAATACAACTTTGGTGGGGGGAGGAACGAAAGGTATTTCCAACAAAAACCAAACACACCTTTCAAAGCACCGTGCAGCAACGTGAAGGGCCGAAATCTATCCATATAAATAACTAGTTCCATTGAGGAATCAACTGTTGGCCCCTTCATAAGTTAAGACGCCCAGAACTCCAAATTGCAAGCGCAACTGCACTATGTTGTCTTTCCCAAGAGAATTTCAGACCGTGGGAGCGTTCAAGATGATATAGGTTCATAAGGATATGATAGCCACGGGTGCTTCAGAGCGTCAGATGCAGAAGGGCGCTTCTTCGGGTTTATCTCAAGCAGATGAGCAATGAAGTCAATGAAGCCTTGGTCCCCCATTGGAAGCCTGTGCCTCAAGGATGTCTTCTTTGGTATCAGGTATTCCAGTCTGTTAGTTTCCTGAAGAACAGAGGAGAATAGCATTGTTTACGAGATAGATAAATAAATACATGAATACCTTGTAAACTAGTTACCAGTGTTTGTACATACACTACCCTACAGAATTGGGGAAAGCAGGTTCGTGAATTTACGAAGATTTATGAAATGGAGTAAATCTGTATGGCTTACCTGATTCCGTTCATAAAGCATGTGATTTTTTGTGAAGTATTTGTATGTATCACGCCCTTTCGCTAGCATGCCTTGATCAATAGGGGAAATGATTCCCATCACCCGTGCAAGTAAAGTTGCAGGTGAATCATTCTGGAAGAGTACCTACACAAAGTAAGTTCATTTCAACATTTAGCACCATTATCATGATTTTGTTTACTTTCCAGAAAAGTTGTAGTAGTTTCAAATGGCAATAAAATCACACATCCCTAATCCTCGTTGCCAAAAAATAATGACAACTAAATATTATACACTATTGCCTACACTTGATTTGTCTAAATGACAGTTTTAAATGCTTTCGGCCAGCCACTCGGATAGTATGTACTTTTTCCCATGAGAAGTGAACTATAACATTGTTTATCTATAGGGCTTTTACATATACTTGTACTAAGAAAGATTTCTGTTCAGTATATGTACTTTATTCTATGTATAGCTGAAGCTCTGAATGAAGAACCGAATCAGATATACTGACACAATGTTATACACCATTTCTTGCATGTGGTTCAGGTATAATTTTCTTAGTTCTTTTAATTGATTTTATAGGCATCAAAGCGTTCGTAACACAACAAAAATTCATAGCAACATCAGTGAGTAGACAAGTCTGCACAACAATATGTGAAAAAAACACTTGTTTTGCTTTGTCATTTATCTCATGAATCCATGTTAAGGTTTTCATCTCCGCATCTACTAGAAATTCGAATGGATTTACGGATGAACCACAGAACTTACCAGAGACATCATACAGAATGATAACAATAATAATCATGACTCTATGTACACAGACAGCCACAAACACGTAAATAAGTCAGTATTCTTACAGAGCTGAGATTTACTTCAACTACCAGTCAGGTTAGAGCTTAACATTAGGATATTAACAGATCTCAAGTACCCGATAACTGAATATTTTGCTTATAGCAAAAAAGTCAATATTTAGTTACCTTGTTTGTAATAAGTACATTAGAAAATTAAAAATCTAATGATAAGCATACAAGGATGCATAGCACTTACATTGCCAGTACAAAGTTCGGCCAAGATGCAGCCAAGTGACCATATATCTATCTTCTTATCATATGGAAGTCCCAAGATAACCTCAGGAGCACGATAGGATCTGGACTGAACATAGGAGCAGAGATGATCCGTCTCAAAGCAACTACTCCCAAGATCAATGACTTTGACCTCACATCTACTGTAGCTTTTTACCAGTATATTCTCAGGTTTCAAGTCACAATGTATCATGCCAAGGCCATGCAAAAACTGAAGCGCTTCTAGACACTGAATCGTAATTGACTGCATAATGTTCAATAAATTTAAACCACCAGCATAAAAAGAAAAAAAAACTAAACGGTTGTCAAATAGAAAATGGGACCAAACAAACCTGCAGTCGTGGCATTGTGAAGTAGACCTCCCCTCCTGACTCCCGATTAAACTTATGAAATTCATACAAGTTTGCTTTGAGAAGTTCACATACTATTAACAAATGTTCCTACCACACAAAGTCAAATTCTAATTAACATTCATTGAGACAAATATGTAACTTATAAATGCACAAACAAGACCAATGCACTAACAGGAGGCGCAAGATGGGAATACAAATGACTGTAAAAAACCTGCCCCCAAAGGATTCTCAATCTTAACATAATTAACCACAGAATAGATATACAACAATTTCAAGTTTTTCCCTCCCCATGCTAACATAAAGGCACTGCCCCCAAGCATAGGAGTCCCAGGTACACAAGACAATGAAAGACAAGTCATACAAATCTAGCAAATAAATGTGCACATATGAAACAATTATTTATCTCAAAGTTTTATAAAAGCTACCAAATAAGATAAAGTAAATATCAAACTGTGCATTTACTTACTCGATAGTAGAAGTAATCGTACAAACGAAGAATGTGGTACTTGTCACCAGGATCATGCTTATTGACGTATTTGAGAAGCTTTATCTCATCAAGGCTCTGATCAAAGAAGTCTTTGTTGTTCTTTATAATTTTCACACATACATCCATGCCTGTATGTAGATCATGAGCTTGAATAGCTTTGCTGAATGCAGCTGATCCAAGATATTCGGTGACATGATAGCGGCCAGCTAACACAGAATTCAAAACAACATGAAAATTTTTGTCCTCCTCAAAGCCAGTTCTGCAGAACAAAAACATGGGGTTCAAGTCAGAATCAAGTTAAGTAGCCAATGATAAAATAGATAGCAATGAAGAGCTTCACATCAGCAAAAGCAGAAAGACTAAGGTCCATCACAAGAGTACATGTCTCAACAAAGGAAATCACACAAGAAAGCTGTTTCAAGTTTAGGCGGATTGTGTTGTCATGATGTTGTTTATGTTGTACAGAAAAGAAAAATAAAGGAAACAGAGAGAGAGAGAGAGACAGACAGACAGACAGGCAGAGAGAGAGAGAGAGAGACAGATAGACGGGAGTAATTAAGGTATTATTCTTCTTTCTTGAAGAAAGGTCTAATGCTACAGTTTCAAAAGTTTCCAGAGCTTTTTAAAATGTATTATTGGTTTAAACAGAAAAATCCAACACCCGAAACACAATTCTCCTGTAATGAACCATGATCAATTAATTTACATTTGAGACTGGTGAATAGGTGAAGACGTGCCTGTTTTTCCTGTGCACAATCTTGAGGTTGAAGGTCTCAAACTCTTCCTCTTGAGCCTTTATTTGCCTTACTTGCTCTTGCACAGCAGCCGCCTCTTCATCCTCAAGTGATGCCCCCCTATCTTCCTCCCTAACAGCAGCAATTTTCTCATCTTCTTCTTGCTTGGCATGCTCTCTTTCAGCATAAGCATAATTAGAGAGCGTTGAGGGAGTCGAGTTTGTGGATCTAACAGCATTAGCATTATTTTCATCCCTAGAACTCATTCTAGGTGAGGACTCGTTACTTTTCTCCCTCCACGAAGCAAGCATTTTATCATCATCAGGTTCTTCAGTTACAACAGCATTGCAGTTGTTCGACCATAAAGGTTTACTAGAGCTTGCCTGCACCAATTGCCCATCTCTCAGTGGTGGGGGGAATGAAAATCCCCCTTCTGAATGAATTTTCTTCTGTCTAAAAGCACCATCATTGTTCTCAACTGTATATTTATTTGCCTCATGTTTACTAGTTTTCTTCTTGTCCTTCTCAAGTCTATCAATATGTTTCTTATCTGAGTCCTGATGATTCTTCCGTGGCCCACCAATTCCTACATCATGGTCCTGAAAGTATTCTAGATCCCCTTCACTACTGCCTCCAATCAAACTTTCCCGTACTTCACTGCCGATATCAGCAGCTTCGCTATTGATTCCCACACCTATTGATCTTACTGAACCAAGCTGGTCGTCATCCACACAAACCTCTTCCAGACATGGCCTTCCATTCTCATTCACATCTTTCCCATCCCCTAACATGATGAGTTCATTGGTCTGAGTGACAAAGCCCTGCCAGACAGGTTCTGAACGCATTAAATTAAGCTCCTCTTCATCCATCAACTGTCCATCATATTGAGCTATCAGATCATTCTCATCGGTTCTCCCATACAATTCAGTCACTGATAATCCCATAGGATCATCTGAAGTTATAATTGGTTCAACATTTTTCGCTTGAAAGTATCGCTCACCAGATAAATAAGAATCCTCCTCAGCAAAAGATTGATCATCATCCTCCTCTTTGGTTGGGCCCCTTTCCTGTGGATCTGGAACACTCCCATGACCTGTTCCCTTTTCATTGTCACTAGGATAATCAATTTCATGGGCCAGAAACCATGCCTCATCTTCAATAGGTTGTCTCATGTATCCAACATCATCATCATCATCATATTCATCAGAGTCCCAATAGGGGTAGTCAATCGTTTCACTCAATCCATCACCAACGGTAGCAAAACCAGAAACCAGATCAGATGCGTCCTCTGTGATCCCCTGACTTACAGACAGCCAACTGCCTCCTACAGGTCTTTTTCCACCTGAACCATAATCTTTAAAGAAGAAATTAAAGACTAGAGATATCAAAACAACCAAGACAATGTGACAAGAAATTTGACTCTGAACAACTTCAGAAATCCAAAAATTTGAGGAATGGTCAATACAAACTCTACTTATCTAAGCAAACAAAGGAATGAGTACAAATGACCATTGAGGAAGAGAGCTTCCAAGCATATAAGAATGAAAAGGTCTGCAATGATTTTAAGTCTTGAAAGCCTAGAAAATAAAAATAAACTGACGACTACAATAGCTACTTAAAACAAAACAAAGAGTATCAACAACTAACCTGAAGAGTTGATTTCTTGTCCAATAGGTACATCCAAATATGACCCAATAAGAAGAGCATTGTCAGCAGAGCTGAGTTTTGGGCCAGGTCCGTCTCGCTCAAACTTTTCCTCCCAATTAACATTCAATGGTTTGTCCTCTGACTTGAGTTTGACTGGTGGCAGCCTAGGGAACTCTTCCTTTTGATTCTCAGACAAAATAGGAAAAATTAAATTACTAATGGTCTTTTGCTCAGAACTCCCTTGTGACTGGCTTAAGTATAAAGCTCTTCCCACCTCATCAACCTGCTCCTTTATTGTTGCCCTAATATCAGTCAACTCATTTTTTCTCTTTCCTTCTTTTTTGTCAGAACCAGAAGCACTATCATAACTCGTTAACACATCACCCTTGGAGAAAGGAAACACGGTCTTGACAGAACAATCTTTCCACATCTCTGAAGGTGGATTTGTTGGTTCTTCGATTCTTGGCCAAGGATTCTCTGCTGCATTTTCTTTGAAGAATGTGGTACTCGTCTTAAGTTGTTGGTCAAGTTCCTTAGGTTCACTTGTTTGGGTTCTGTCATACTTGAATTCCACACTAGGTTTGCTAGTACTTCCAGACCAAGAGGTTTTCTTTTCACCAGAAAAGCAAAACTCTTCTGCATTTTCTTTGAAGAACGCGGTACTCGTCTTAAGTTGTCGGTCAAGTTCCTTAGGTTCGCTTGTTTGGGTTCTGTCATACTTGAATTCCACACTAGGTTTGCTAGTACTTCCAGACCATGAGGTTTTCTTTTCACCAGAAAAGCTGATCTCTTCTCCATATTTCAAAATGGCTTTACCTGAATTGGGAACTTCAGTTGTATGATTCTTTGATTGCTGGGATATTTGAGGCTCTGGGAAGTTGCTGATAATACCACCACCATCACTTTGATAAGGTTCTGCGGGTCCATTGCTCGGACTGGACTGCCAAGAATATAAATCAAGCACGGTCTCCTCTAAACCTTTAGAGAATGCAAAGCTCTTGTGATTTGTCCCAGCCACATCAACTGATTTATTCCACTCCCCAATAGAAGTAGCATTTTTCCATTTGCTTTCAGACCCATTTCTACCAGTTCCACACTCAATCTCTTTCACTATAAGTTCCTGAGAAACTTCATCACCATTCCGAGATCCCAAGCCTTGATTTTCCACCACTAGCTTGTCCCTGTTTTCAGCTTCCGACGAATGACTAGAATCCTTATCCTCAAAAGTAAGCTTCTGAAGGAAACCATTCAAATCAGGACGATTACCAAGCTCACTTCGAAGAGCTGCCTCTGCCCTTGAAAACCTATTCTTCCGCAGAAAGTCCAGAATAACGTCAACGGACTTTGAGTCGGCCATTTTCAGCCTCCTAAAACCTACAAGCATGCATCAAAAAACAAGCACCCACCAATCCTGAGAACACACCATTAACAAAAGCTCATCCTAAACAAAAGTTCAAAAACCCATCTTCCAGTTTGCCCCACTTTGCTAAGAAAGTGAAAAAACATAACAGATTTTCTAAAAATTAAATGAAGGAAACGAACTTGACATTCCTTCCTTCCAAATAAAGTTAAGAAGTTACCTTGTATTAAGCTCAACGACTGGTGCCATTTTGTCTTCTACTGTCCTGAACAATGAAAAAAATGGAACATTCAGAATATCAAAAAAATTCTTTTCCTTTCTCCCACATTTTCCGAGCAACCAAACAAAGCAAAACAATTTAACTTTTCCCAGAAAAAATTCAAAACCCAAGTTGTAAAAATGCATCACATGAGAGTACAGGCACGATTTTCCATCCCGTAACCGCGCATTCTCAACGTGGATCCGGCATTTACAGGCAGACTGCGATTCCCAAATCCCACAAATCAAAATTTACAAACCCTTAAAATCCCAACAGATTTACAAGTTCGCGGGGTGGGATTCAAATCCCACGAAACTTTCATAGCCGTTGCAACAAAACACTAGACTATTTCTCGGCCAGAGAAAATCAAGATCTGATTTTTAATTTAAACCCGTGATTTTTTGGGGGAAAATGATTTCTGGGCATCGGAGAAGGGGACAAAAAAAGGTTGAAACTTGCAATTAGAAAAAAGAAACGGTTGTTGGATAAATAAGAGAGCGGCGGAGGAAGAGAAGAAAGGCACCTGGTGGGAATGGGAGTGACCGGTTGCTGCCGGCGCCGCTGCTTCTTTTGTTTCTCGTCTTTGTAGGCTTTTGGGAGGAGGGAGGCGTAGTCTCCTGAATCGAGGTGGAGGTGGTCCAAATACCAAAAGCTTCGTTTAGTTTTAGATTTTGATGCTCATGGGAATAACTTGAATATATTCCACTCACTACTCTCATTTTTATGACCATAAAAAGTATTAATATGTCACTATTCTCGTTTATTGTTATTTTTCTTATGCGATCATTTGATAACAAAATACAACTTTTGTCATATAAATTTTTGTTGCATAAATTATTAAGAATAAGAATTTTATACTAATTTATATATAGTAGAGGGTTAGATTTTTGTTGTTAGTAAATCGCAAAATAGTGATCAGGGGAGGCTAAAATGCTTTTGTGAGTCTTTCCAACCGCCGGAATGGTGAACTGCAATAACGAAGCCACTAAATAGTCCTTTTTTTTTTTTAGAATATGGTGGGTTATAGAGGAAGACACAAATTGTTTGAAAGTATTTTTAAAATGATTAAAAGTGTTTTTTGTTTAAGATTTGCAAGTAGTCATTTTAAAACACTTTAAGTTATTTTAAAAGCGTTTTCAATAATTTTAAACACAATTTAATGAGCTATTGTTAAAAGTATAATTATCAAACAAACAATAAAATAATTATAGTAAATTCATACAAAACTTCCTAGTGAATTACATGAAAGAGAAAAAAAAGTGGGTAATAACTATTTTGAAAAAGAAAAAAAAAGTATTTTGAATTACTAAATAATAATAGTAATTTTGAATGCATAGTATTTATACGGCAGTATCTAAGTTGTCTATTGTAATGACCCGTTCCTAATTTTTACGGTTTATATAATTTTAATAAGTGAATTTACGAAAATGCCCTTTGAGGCAAATGCGTTGACTCTTGTTGATTGCCTTGTCATTTCATGTCAGACTCATTTTCTTGGCATATCCTCGTAGTACTCATTGCTACAAACGCGTGGATGCAAACCGAACGCAATTTGGAGTTATAACGAAGGAGATATTAATGTTTAAAGTCGGGGCATTTTAGTAAATTAATTATTTCTAGAAAGCTCTAGACTTTTTTAGCTTAATCTAGAAAGTCATGTGTGGCCCATATTTAAGGGCATAAAGGATGGGCAGTGGAGATGGAGTATAAAGGAGAGAAATGAGGGAGGGACCGGACTAATTAGAAAAGAAGAGATGAGCGGTGACCAATTAGAGAATAGAGAAAGGGGAAATGAGGGAAGGGAGAAGGAGAGAACCGACCAAACCCGGTTTCTCCACCTGACCTGCCAACTTGATCCTCTCATATCTCCTTCGTACAAACCCTGTTTTGGGTGATCTTGGTGTCCATGGAAAGCCCTTGATGAGCCTTACATCTTTGTAGTGTTAGATTCCCAAATTTCTTACCCAAATTCACAAATTGAAGCCACAAACCCACGGGGGCATCCTGCAGTTTTAACCTTTTTTCTGGTGACTCCGGCGAGTTTCACCGTCGATGATCAACACTAAAAGACTCCTCTCAACCCCAGGAGCAAAGCCCAAGCTTTGGCGAAGGCGTCGGAGTTCGTTTTGGTGGAAAATCAACAACTACCCAATTTTAAGGGTTTCCAGCGGGTTTTCATGAAATTGAGGCTTTTGCCGGCCAAATTGGCCTTAGTCATAGGTATGAAAGTTGCTCCACTCATTGAGATATTCATTCTTATAAAATTTGGTAATTTTTAGAAATAGTTGAATTTTCCGGTAAGTCATGACAGCTGACCGCCACTTGTGGTGACGCGTGGCCAGTGGGCCACCGATGCTATTTTTACACTAAATTGATATCCTGATTTCATATTTGATATCCATATGATGTGATTTGAGTATTGTGAATCTAGTTTGATTAAGGTGTGTTACTTGATAATTCTATAAATCGACGATTCAACCGTTTAATCATCACCCAACTTTGATACATTATAATACATAATATTTGAGGATATTAGAAACTTACAGATTGGGAATCCGACGTACGGATCTTCCCGAATAGGATACGTAAGTTATATGTTCTATTGATAAGAATTCTAAGACATGATTTGATAATTGTTCTAGGCGCCGATCGTTCGTGACGCCTTGATATTTGTGCTAGGGAGTTGTAACGCATACTCCAAGTGACTGGGCTTTTGGTTTTCTATATATACGTATATATGTTTTCTATTTTCCCAAAAAATTGTTTTAAATGGATTTACGTTTTTAAATGTCATGTCAATTGCATTATATTTTAGTATATACATTAGTATAGATATGCTTATTATTGCATGATGTTGTGGACGCCTAGGTAAGATTCATGTGAGTACAGATAGATGATAATGATTGCAATGTGTATGGTTATGTTTAGATGCATTTAGTGCTTATTATACTGCACCCTGGTGTTAGTACTCCACCCGAGGCTAGGGCCAACCTTCATGTGATTGTTCACCTTCCGCACTGTATGCTCACCTTGGATCCAAAATAGGTGACAGTCTGTCGTACAGACCACATTAGGTGGTTCCAATTCGTATGTGACTTGCGATACTTCGCACAGCCTTCACGTGATCGTAGCACTTAAGCGTATTTATTTACACCCAGCATGTCATATAGACAACATTAGGTGGTTATAACTCGTGTGCAAGAATTGGTTAATGAGCTATAGGTTCAGCCGTACAGGTCACATTATGTGACTCCGCCTGGCATATCATTTTACATTGATTTATTTTACTTGTCTTACTTGTTTCATTGCATACTTGACATGGCATATACTTGGTTTTCACTACTCTCGAGCATGATTTCTATATACCTATGTATTATTATTTTTTGGGAAATTATACGGGTTTTACAGCAAGAGGTTATAACGTTTTCAAAAGGTTTTTATTAAAAACTTTATTTTCAGGCCCACTCACTCTTGTTTTTGCGCCCATCCAGTTTTTAGTTGCTAAAAGTTCGTATCGACAAGGATTCTTGGCAAATCTCAGTATAGGTGGTTACTTATGAGGGTATGATCCTTATCCACACTACTGTACTTTACTTATGCTCTGATGTCACGTGTGAAATGAGTTCATCCTCGCTCACATCGCACTCTTGTCTTTAGGTACTTTTAGGTTTAAATTTATTCACATTTTCCACATCATTATACTTATGGCTTCGTCACCTTCCCGGTGTTGGTCAGCACAGCTCAATTTGGAGTCCCAGTGGACATTCCGGGTCAGGGTGTGCCACTATGGTTTGGTATCTCCTAGGAGTATTAAAATTATAATTTTAGTCTATCTCGGGTCACCGTTATGTGATTCACTAGTGTTAGAAATCAAACTTAGAACGTGTCGTGTAAAATGCAAGTTTGAAATTATTCTCCAACCACTGAACCATCCCCTGATGGTTGTAGGTGACCCTATTTCAATTATTTGAGACACAATATGAGTACATCATGCATTCCATCCATTTTGGCTCTTAATTTGTTGTGCGGCCTCCAATGTACACGGAATTACCTAAAGTACAATTTGAAAGGAATTTAGGCTTCTCATTTTCCCTTCAGACAAAATTGGGCCCTCCAACGTTGGAAGAAATGTGAGCTCATAATCCTTCGTTAGGCCTGGAGTGTAGTGTGAGAGACTTTTCAATGTGACAAGAACACATGATGATATATCACGTGTTACTACAAATTATGAGATATGTATGTTAAAAATTTAATAACTTAAAAAATAAAATTTTCCACCATTATATAAAAACACGTGATGCACCCGGATTTTGGTCATAATAGAAACTTTCTCATGTAGCGTTATTTTTGTGATCAACGCTAAATTGCTAGAAAGTGGACCCACATTGCTACGTGCCCAAGTGGGGAATTCAGATCCGAATAGGGAGGGAGGAAGCCAAGGAATCATCCCAAGGCGTTGACTACCAAACCACCAGATTCCTCACTCCCGCAAAGCCCCCCAATCACGTGCCACCACGTAGACAGAGAAAGAACGAAGAAATTAAATTAAAAAAAGCGTGTAGGGGTGGGCATGGTTTGGTTCGGTGCAGTTTTGAGTGAAACCAAAACCGAAACCAAAGTTTTTTGCGGTTTGGTTCGGTATGGTTTTGAAGCCAAAACCGAAATGAAACCAAACCGTTTGGTTCGATTCGGTGCGGTTTCAAACGGTTTCAGTTTGATTTTTAAGAAAAAATGTAAATTTGCAATTTAACATATTAATAAGCATTTCCCAGTAGCAATAGGAAAAAGACATTTGTTATATAAACAATTAGCATGTTGCATGCAGTTGTGATGTTAAAATATGTTTGTGCAACAAAGGGTGTCCCGTACAAGGTATAACATAAAACAAGTTGAATAACTTTGAATTCATTAAACATGAACGAAACTTTCATACTATAATATGTGATATGATGCTTCAAATGAGTGGACTTCATTAGATCATTGTTTGACTCTTGATAACAAGATTAGTCCACCCTTGTACATATATGTGTGTGTGTGATGTTATAAAATAACAAAGGTCCTTCAAGTTAATGAACGAAAGAAAGTGATGAATGATGATATTCTAGTGTGGTTGTGTCCATACTAAGTGCATGGATTCTAACAAACAACCAATTAAAACATGAAATTTAATATGGACATTTAATTAAATGTTTATTAATATTTGCGGTGCAGTTCGGTTTCGGTGCGGTTTTCAAAAGCCAAAACCGAAACCAAACCGTTTTCTATGTTGCGGTTCGGTTTCAAAACCGAAACCGTTCCAAAACCGCAAACCAAACCGTTCGGTGTGGTTCGATTTGGTTCGTGTTTCGGCTTCGGTTTTCGGTTCTAAGTGCCCACTCCTAGAAGCGTGAGACGCACCCTACGGCATAACGTAGGTACCAAAACGTCAGTAAGGCATCAAACATCTCATGACGTGGTGAGGCACTCCGTCTCCGTCACCTTTGTTCGCCTCTTTTTTGTTTCACATTAAAACAAAACAAATTATTTCCACATTAACTAATAATTATTTTGTTTGAATATTAATAAAATGTTTATTTACTGGTAATGTGATTTAATAATTTCAATTCAATTGAGTTTATAATTTTGTTCCTATCCATATTATTACACTAAGTTGAAGTTGAAGGTCATGACCACCACGCCACTAATTACATAATTTTTTAAGTATTGAATTACTAATTACGTTGTGGAAGTGAAAATTTTCTTGATTTTGTGTGTGCAAGAAAAAAAATCAACACAAACATGTTTATTACAAATACGTTCTTTAAATGAGAGAATTCATAAATCATAAAAGATACAAAAGAAAAATTTACATTATCTTAATTTCATGTCAAAGACAACCTTGCCACCACAAGCCCCCAATTGATATGTTTCATAATTTTCAAGCATTTGATTACAAATTATAATATTAAAAACGTGTTTTTTATGGTTATTTTTTTTGTATATTCTTTTTTATTTATAGTTATCGAATTGAATAAATAAATTAAATTTTGTACACATATTAAATGTACAAAATAGTGTGTGATTATTAATTCTCTGCCTTCTAATTTTTTAGTAAATAAACATACAACATAGAAAAAAATTCCAAGTCTATAAGCTTAACACATTTAATTAAAGGGTGTATTAACAAAACACTTCCGGTACTGTTTATTTTTAACGAAAAATCACATTTTTACCTTTTTCTGATACTATTTACCACACATTTGTTTATCATTTTTTATTAAAACTAATTTTTTTTTTGAATTTTTCGTTAGTTTTTATTTAATTAAATGACAATATTAATATTAATATTTAATTAAACCCCAAATAAATATATAAGCCAATGACCCAAACCAGACCCAGGAAATCAAATCAAATATATATATGTATATACTGAACGTGGTTGTCTTTTCTCTCCAGAGATTAGAGAGAGAGAGAATGAGGAAGACCATGGCGGTGGGAGTACACTGCATCGTCGCCTTGCTAATTCTTTCCGGTGCGGATCTAGTCAGGTCCGACGGGTCGGATCATCGGTACAAGGAAGGAGATTTTGTCCCTCTGTATGCCAACAAGGTCGGCCCGTTTCACAACCCCAGGTAAAACCCCAACACTCCACCCTGCTCGATCTCAAAGTTCCATGCTTTCTTAGCTCCATTCAGCTTCTGGGTTTGTTCATTTCACTGTTAATTGTTATGGATCTGGGTTTATTCCCACCCATTTGTTTGGTTACTGAGAAAATTTGCATGATTTACAAGTTCTGGTTCAGCTGGTATAAGCTAGACATTGTGATTTGGAAATTGAATTTTCATTGGCTATGTGTAAATATCCGAGCTTGATCTGTTTTTGAAAGATTTGATTTGGGTTCTTAGTCATTTGCCATCAAGTTCTTTAGTCAACCTGTGTTTTCGTTTTCGTCGAAATTGCATGTGTATTGTTCTTCGAAGCTTAACTCTGTTTTTGCTAAACTAGATAATAAATTGTATGTTAGTTTGATTGTGGTGGAAATTTGGTGTTCCTGATGGTCTAAATTTTTGTTCTTTTTGTTTTTTTTGGGTGCTTCCAGTGAAACGTACCGATACTTTGATCTCCCATTCTGCTCACGAGGTTTGTATCAAATCGATTCGTTCCTTTCATATTTACTTCCTTCACAATACGTGTTCATGTTCTCCGATGAATTGAATTTACCTAATTATTTGGATCCTAATTGCAGATGCGGTGAAAGAGAAAAGGGAAGCTCTTGGTGAAGTATTGAATGGAGATCGTTTAGTCAGTGCCCCTTACAAACTTGAGTTCCTAAGGCATAAAGATACCGAAGTAGCTTGCAAGAAATCACTCACAAAGGAAGAAGTAGCCCGGTTCAGATCTGCTGTCAACAAGGACTATTACTTCCAGATGTATTATGATGACTTGCCCATTTGGGGTTTCATAGGGAAGGTTGACAAGGAAGGCAAAGACCCGAGCGAGTACAAGACCTACCTTTATAAGCACATTCATTTTGATCTCTATTATAACAAGGACCGCGTGATTGAAGTGAATGTTCGAACAGATCCAAATGCACTGGTTGACCTTACAAAGGATAGAGAAGTTGATGTTGAATTCATGTATACTGTGGAGTGGAAGGAAACAACCACTCCTTTCGATAAGAGGATGGATAAGTATTCTCAGTCCTCATCCTTGCCTCATCATTTGGAGATCCATTGGTTCTCAATTATAAATTCATGCGTGACAGTTCTCCTCTTGACCGGGTTTCTTGCTACAATTCTCATGCGAGTACTTAAGAATGATTTTGTCAAGTAAGCATATTTGGTAATCCTTTTGCCCCTGTTTTATGTGTGCCGGTTCACCCGTTCTTACATTTACGTTTCTTTTTCTGTATAAAAGATATGCCCATGATGAAGAAGCAGCTGAAGACCAGGAAGAGACTGGATGGAAATACATCCACGGAGATGTATTTAGGTTCCCCAAATACAAGTCCCTGTTTGCAGCAGCTCTAGGTTCAGGAACCCAACTATTTACTCTGTAAGCGCTCATTTATCCAGCTATAGGTGTAGCACCACCACCTCTTTGTTTACAAAGCTTCTCATGTTTTTTCCATTCCATGCAGTACGGTGTTCATTTTCATACTCGCACTTGTTGGTGTGTTTTATCCATACAACCGAGGGGCTTTATTTACTGCTCTGGTTGTCATTTATGCACTCACTTCAGGAATTGCGGGCTATACTGCTACGTCATTTTATTGTCAGCTAGAGGGATCAAACTGGGTGTGTACTGATAGATTATCCCTGCTATGGATTTGGTATTATTGATTGAAGTTGATGTTTTAATAATTAAAGGTTCAAACTTTCTGGTATGACAGGTTAGGAATCTATTGTTGACGGGTTGCCTCTTCTGTGGACCTCTGTTCCTCACATTCTGCTTTTTGAATACTGTTGCAATTGCTTATACGGCCACTGCTGCCCTTCCATTCGGCACAATTGTGGTTATAGTTCTGATATGGACACTTGTAACATCACCTTTACTGGTGTTAGGTGGGATTGCTGGGAAGAACAGCAAAGCTGAGTTCCAAGCCCCTGTTCGCACCACTAAATATCCCAGAGAGATTCCACCTTTACCTTGGTACCGGGCAACAATCCCTCAAATGGCAATGGCCGGTTTTCTGCCTTTCAGTGCTATATACATTGAACTGTACTACATATTTGCCAGTGTATGGGGTCACAGGATTTACACCATTTACAGCATCTTGTTTATTGTGTTTATCATTCTTCTGATCGTTACTGCTTTCATTACTGTGGCATTGACATATTTCCAACTTGCTGCCGAGGACCATGAGTGGTGGTGGAGGTAAGTAGCTTATTATCGGTGCATTCTAATTTGGTTAGGGTATGCAAGTTACTATGCCTTTTATTCTTGTGTATGCGTTCCAAAGAACGAAAAAATTCAAGTCATATGTTTGCTGCTACTGGCTCTCCTTTGTTAACTGCTGTCGAATCCATTAAATAACTAGTGGCTTCAGAATTTAAAGTTAAGGATGCACAAAGTTAAAAGAAAAGCTGCAGGATTTTCCAGGCATTTGGTTTTCAGGAATTTCGGTAGTCTTCATGTGTTTTTTTTTTAATTAATTTTAGTGTCCGCAGTGCATTGGTTGATCATTAGTGTGGTCTTAGTATTATGTGTTCCATAATATCTGATTAAGTTTAGTTTGAAAATGTTACATTTATATGTCAATTTGTAAACCAGTTTTAACTTCAGAAGACGTAAGACATACCGCGACTGATGTATTGTTGGTTTCGTTACAGGTCTTTCCTCTGTGGTGGGTCTACTGGACTATTTATCTATGCCTATTGTTTGTATTACTACTACGCACGCTCGGATATGTCAGGATTCATGCAAACATCATTCTTCTTTGGTTACATGGCATGCATCTGCTACGGTTTCTTCCTCATGCTGGGGACTGTAGGCTTCCGTGCAGCTTTGCTCTTTGTCCGTCACATATACCGGTCCATCAAGTGTGAATAGTAGCCTGTTCCCCAAGAATCATCGGACGTGGTTTCTCGTGTTTTTCGACGCACAGGCACCTTTGTAGAGAAGTTTGGTCAAATTAATTTTGTAAGTGCCTCGTGTACTAAAGCTGTAGTCATGACATATGTATGCATCCGGAGCAATATGTTAGATCACAATTTGGGCGACTATATTCACAGTGACAAGTTTGTATCACTACATTTGAATCTTTTTGCAATACATTCTTTAAATATATTCTCTCCTCATATACCCAGTTACTCTCTCTCCCTCTCTCTCAGTATTTGTGGAAGCAAGAAGCTTTTGACGCAAAAGTGCTTCTTCCAAAATCCCATGAATCACCTTTCTATAAAGAAGTTACATGGAACTTGTGGAGTTTGCTTTTGAGCGGGGAAACGTCGAAGATCTTCAAATTATATTAATATTACGTATCATTGCATAATATGAGAATAATTAGTTGAATTTGAAAAATAAAGATCTAAACAGTTGTGAAAATCAAGTCTAGTTCAGTTGTAAACTAAAATTTAACGATTATTTTAATATAAGCGATGATATATGCTAAATTAATCTAATCTAATCTAAACTGCGTCAGGAGATTCGAATTCGAGTAGGGGTAGATGTTCAAAACTGCGAAACCGAAATCGAAACCGAAACTGTACATATACGGTTCCTAACCGAACCGGGTCGGTCCGGTTTTATTCATCCAGCAATTTATAAAAATTAACAGAAAAATGAGGGTAAAAGATAAAAGAAAGGCCTGGAAAGTGAGTCGATGGTAGTTAGAAAAAGGTAGTCAGTTGAGCATCGTACAATCTCTGCAATTCCCACAACTCGAAAAGCGAACACTTGAAGCGAATGAGGCCCGGAGTTCTACATCTCTGGTAGCACTTTCACTCTCTCAGCAGCCGCTTTGCAGCAACGGAGTGCGGTGAGATATGTCCACTGCCTCATCAGCTCTGGCGCTCCACCTCCCCTTTGCTCCCCCAATCACCGCCGCCGCCACCAAACTCACTTACCCAGTAAGCCTTCTTCTTCTATTATCATAACCCAGTTACTAAATTTGTTGCCTTTGCTAACAATTGCAATCGTAATTAACAGATACGCAGCTCACGGTGGTCTGCAACTGGTGTGAGGCTCGTGGGTTGTGCTCGTGCTGCAATTTCAGGAAGAGGGCATGGTACACTTGGTTTATTGCTTTTGGTTTTAGATTTGTGGATTGTTTCGAATTTTAGAATTTCGTATTCGAAATTGGGTTTCTGTTAAAAAAAATTCAGGTACATTTGATCCTGAACTCCGTTCTGTGCTTGAACTCGCCACCGATTCCGAGTTATATGAGCTTGAAAGAATCCTTTTTGGCCCTAGGTAACTTCAAAATCGATACTTTCTGTTTCATTAGTGTGAAACTTTGGACAAGAAAAGAAAAACCGTGTCTTGCATTTTACACTCTTTCGTTTTTTCAGTAAAGGGGTAGTGTCAATTGTCAATCAAACTTGAGGATGTAATTAAACTTCAAATTTCGTAGTGTGATGACTACGTTATTTTTATCTTTGGATGGAGTCAATGTCCAGCTACTTCAGCCCGTTGCTGAAGTCTATAATGAGTAGAACCAATGTCGACCATTCAATGGTTGAAGAGGATCTCGATGAACGAGAGGAGTTTTTAGCAGTATTAGAGTCTCGATTCTTATTCCTCGCAGCCGATGCACGGTCTACGATAAGGTTTTTCCTCAACTCATCTAATTTAAATTTCACCTCATTAGTTAACTTGTTTGGCGGCAATGTTACTCAAGTTTTAGAGGTTGACTTGCCATTGAATTGTATGTGAAGGATCCTGGCAATGCAAAGTTGTTTCAACTCTGTGTATTTCTTTATTAAACTAACTGCTAGTGACATAATTGTCGGCGAGTTTCATCTTGACTATCAAATTGGCGTGTGTGGAATTCTTGGTAGGGGTTGGAGGCCATCATATAGGAATGTCTTGCTTGCAGTGCGAAAAGAGTTAAACGTTCCTTGCTCAAGCAAATTGTCAACTGAAGACCTTGAAGCAGAGATTTTTCTTCATCTGTTGCGAGACTATTCAAGGCATGTTTTCTATATATAGTTATATATTTCTCTAGTATTTAGACCTCGTTGTTTATTAGTTTCTGAAGTAGAAATAACTTCATTTTTTGATCTCTTTGTACTTATGCAATAGTAAGGAGGGAGGGATTGAAAGAACACTACCTTTAGGTATGAAAGTGAATAGACGAAAATTTGTGTGGTGAACGTGTAAGGAAGGGTAGAAAGCAAAGCATAGAAGAGACTATATCTTGAACGAGTTGGTGCATACATTGATGAGTTGATAGTTTGTCAGTGCTATTTGATTTTGGCAGCTTAATGTTTTGGTGGATCATTGTATTATAGAAAAGGGTTCACTTTCTTTTATTTTAAGTGTGTGTTGTAATGACTTAAAATGATTCACTTCCTTCATATAGTGAAGAATCAGGAAATTTTGAGGGCTTGTTGGAGTTCCCTGAACTGTCTGATGGTCAACAAAGTCTTCAACTTGGACTCAGTCAATGGAAGGTACAGGCCCTTAGTGCTTTAAAAGTTGGGGCAGCAGAGCTCCGATCAATGTTTTTGAAGGTAATGTAGCTTTACTACAAAGAATTTATGCACAATCAATTCTTTCCAACTTGAGTTCATGTTTTTTAATTTTGTTGGTTTATGATTTTCTCTGAAGGGTGGTGGTATCTTTACTTTGGCGAAGATTTATCAGTTGGTAAGTAAGAATAAAGTCAAACTGATTATTTCATTTCTTCTTTGTATACCTTTAATTATTTTTTCTCTGTGGTAGGTAGCTAGAAAGTTATCTGGAAAGGTGTTCCTAGAAGCCGCCAACTATCAGCTAAAAAGGGATTTTGTTAGAAAGGTAAATCTTTGACTTCACAGCTATAAAGGAACCATAAGTGAGTAAATTGTTTGGTCACCAGTCGTATGGGTGTACATTACTGTGTTCCTCCTGTGTCCGATATTTTTCAAGGTTTTTTCCTTGCTTTCATGTCATGTGATCTCTCATGTCCGTGTCTGTTTAACTCTTTCTATCTTTATCCTAGTTTTTCTTTCATTATCATACTTAGTGTTTCTCTTTGTGATGTTAATGACTTTTCTATTGTTTATCTAGTCACCCTTTATTTTTGAAATATAATTCCGTAATTTTTTAATTTTCAGGGTGGACAATTAGCTGCTATGAATCTCGAGTCCAGAGCAGCCTTTCTTGCGGCAAAACAGGTAATTATATTCTGCAGATGATTCAATTTGTTGCCACTGTTTTTTAACGACTTCTTTATGTGATAGGGGAATTTTTGTATGTATGTAGAAAAACTATTGTTTGAGCTAGTGGCTTTTTTATTTGTTTAGGTCTGAGTATTATTTCGACGAAGCTCTGAATTAGTTGTAGCTTTGTATCACATGCTGATATCAAGGAAACCTCTTTCGTTGTTGTGGTTCAAATATTGTTTCATGTCCCTCCCGTCCCCCGTCCTCTCATTTCTGGATTTCTGGATTTCTAATATTTGTCATTTTGGACAGGGTTTTGCAGGCGCTGCATCAAGATATCTTGGTTTAAGAAGCATGATGGCTTTGCTTGGCCCAGTGTATTGACTTTTCCTATACTTTCTAAACATTATTATTTCAAGCTTCCCTATGTTTGCTTGTTTGGTTCGTTTGCGACTTTATTTCACACACACCCTCCCACACATGGGCATGCAGGCACACGCACACAAATGTGTATGTTTAAGTATCATTTTCCTTGTGTTTAAGGTATTTCGAATTTTTAAGAAGGTAGAATAAGGAGGAAAGTTTAGGTAGGTACAGCTGATGCCAGCATAAAAGATAGTCACTTCTCACTAACCAAGAGTTATTTTTGGTTAAAACGGCTTGTGTTACTGACTCAATTCATTGGGATTAAGTTGTAGGTTAGACTGCACCTACTGAGACGAGTATCATACAGAGAATGCGACTAATCACTGCCCTTTTTTAATTGGTTTTTGTTGGATTTATTTCTCACATGGAAGAGCTTTGAGGCTGTAGCCTGTAGGCCTGTAACTGAAAATGTACCTTCCAAAATTTCATTGGCTTCATTGTCTGCTTGGTTGGAAAATCCTCTGAGAGCATAGATTTTGATGATACAAGTAGAATGTTGCTTCAAATTTTGATGATTAAGCCAATCATTTATTTCTTTTGCAATTTTATGCAGGCTTTGGGGAACATTTCTGGCAGACGTTGTTATTCAAATGCTCGGAACTGATTATGCAAGAATCTTGCGAGCTATTTATGCTTTTGCGCAGGTACTGATGTTTTCTAGTTTTCTTTTTTTTTTTCGCCTTCAGGTTTAACACATTAAACACTGGTCTTTCCTATGATACTTAATTGTGAGGAGTATTATTCATTTTGTTCTGATTTTGGTTTCATTGCTTTTGCTTCAGATCCGCATCACTCGCACATATAGGCTACCGCCTGATTATTGAAAAGCTTTCTGTTTTGAGAAGATGCGTTTATCAAATCGTTCCAGAGCTTGAAATGGATCCCAAGCAGCATTCATACTGAAGGTAAATGTGGATGGCCTGTCATCACGTTAACAAGAGATTTGCGTTCAAGATTAATTACACTGTACATACAGAACACCTCCCACAGCCCATTCTGCTATTCATTTTCACTGTTTCGTACCTAACTGTGGAAGCCGAAAAGATTATCGTCTTCGTGGGAGTTTATGCATGCCTTTTAACATTGAGAATTAATCTTAGAAAAAGAAGGCATAAGATGCATATAGATCATTATGCATGGAACTTGAAATGAAGTTAGTTTCGGGTAGCATAGAACTAAGGGGTCGACATCCCAGAGTTGGTCTAAGGTCGGGCTTCGGAAACAAAGAACTCCCCGGACTACAGCCTGCGCTGGGGAATTTGCTTCTTCTTGTTCGTTTCATCTTCACTTAATTCCCAAACAAATATGTCAAGGTTCAGCTTCATCCTCTCCATGTTGAAACTCGTCGGAGTCACACTTGCTCCTTGCTGGGCGATGGATTTCAGTATAATTTGCATGAACATAATCAAGTTAATCTGTCTTAATTTCTGTATTTCAACTAATTAACCGAAACAAGTACTACCTGCGGCAGAGTCTTCCCTTTGGCAGCAGCGAGGTCCTCGAGAACGGTATAATCTAACCCGGCATTGTTACACTGAGGAGCTCTGTAAACTACCAAGGGAGGGTCATGCGGTCACCTGAATTCCTCTCATTACTGAAGTCTCGCAGTTTTCGTTTCTGCCACGGCGGGTTCATTTCAACCTGGTTAACCGCCGGGGGATGGCGGCGTTGTGTAGGATTTGAGAAAGCTTGGTGCCAAAATTGCAAACGCCCATAGACGTGGCTAAGCCTAACCTGGAACATTCTTCCATGGCCGGCAGTTTCCCCGTTACCTGAAGGGTTCCTTGGTTCAGCCTCACGGGCCAAAGAATCAGGCATAGATCCACACTTCAGCCCCAGCTTCCTTCATTTGTAGAGAATTCATGTGAACTCAAAATTCGGATAGATACGAAAATTGAATTTGAGACATCTTCTAACACTGGAAAGAAAAATACCACTAGTTAACATCCTATTAACCAAATTACACCAATATTTATAACTTTTTAGCCACGGTCACTGCCTACGATTGACTTTTGGTTTTGATTTCGCTAGATTTACAGTATGTTGAAGTAAGAAACGAATGTCAACTTTTAAATTTTGTTTTTGATTAATCGTGAAGGAAACATATCTCTTCCGATTAATCTATGTACCTTCAACTTGAACAAAAAATTTAGAAATTTAATTAGCCTCAGTTTTTTCTGTCAACGTATTTTTAAACTAGTAAATTATCCAATCTAACCAAAAGCATGAGATGTGGCCTATATACACGTGTGTATATATATATAGGTATGTGTGTGTATGTGTGTAGGTATGTATAGATAGACTACTTACTGGAGTGTGGTTTTGAGGGCTGGGGGCACACCATCAGGATGAGCGTATCAGTACACCACAGCTTGGAAGCGATGAACATGTCATCCCGGCTCTTGATAGGACCTCGCTGAATTGTTCGAACCACGGGTCAACCTCTCACACGTATGTTGTGCATATTTCTTATTAATTCCATGTCGTTTATCTCTAGGTTTTGTTCAAGAATTGGTCCAAAAGAGCCTTATTACTTTCTTTATCTCAATTTCACCTAATTTGCGGACTTATGACAATTTTTGATGTAAGGCCAATTGAAGGAGAAAGCTAAGAGGCTAAAGATCGATGTGTCCAACTTTAATAATTTTTCTTGGAGTCACTCATTCCAGTTTTGCAAGTTAATTATGCAAAGTTGCATTTCCGTTGATTTGAAACTCGCATTCGCTCAATGTGTTGACGACTTCATCAACTGAACTTATTTCATCGTTGAAGACCTAATGCTCAATTTACTTGAGTATTTACAAACTCAAGGGGGAGCATTACAATCATAATTATGTTAGGAATGTTATTGTGTAAATTCTAAGAAATCCTTATGGGATTCTACTATATGTTTTAGATAATATCTTATTTAATATGTAATCCTATTGCCACTTAATATTACAGTCTAGTGTTATTCCTCTACACTTGTAAGTTAGAGATCTTAGATTCGATTCTCGTCAAATGCGAGTTTGAATCACATTATTGCTAGCCCATTATGAGGCTAATCCCACCACTATTTCCTTTAGAGTAGATAATATCATTTGTTAAAAAAAAAAAAAATAGGAAACTTCATTTTAATCCTTGGCAAATATGACTTAGACTAAAACCATGAAGATCAAAATCTAATTTTAATCCCTTGATAAATTAATCACCTCATTTATTAATTATATTTTTTTTATGTTTTAATTATTTCTCTTTTTCTTCCTAATTTTAATGTATTAATTTTATTTCATTATAATTATAATTTTCATTTCATTCATCGTAATATATTTTGTTGTAAACATTTAGATAAACTAATTTTTATTTTACAATATATTTCGATATACTTTATCTTCTTCATTTAGGTACATTAAATTCATAATAATACATTTTGGTGCATACATTTGTATACATACATTTCAGTACATACATTTTGATACAAACATTTAGGTACATTAATTCAATATAATACATTTCAATACATACATTTTGGTACATTAGTTTAATATAATACATTTCGGTACATACATTTGGTGTGATGACCCGTCCCTAATTTTACATTTTTATTAATTTTAAAAGCATGAATTTACAAAAATGCCTTAGAGGTAAGGACTTTGACTTTCGTTTACCATCGTCTATAGGAGTGTATGACTTATTGTTTTAGTGTATCTTCGTGGTACTCATTGGTATGAACGCATAGGTGAAAGCTGTTTGCGAGTCCGGATTATAACTGTATAGTTACGGACGTTCAAAATTGGTTATTCAAAGTTTAGTTTTAATTAAATTAAACTCCCACCTTGTGGGAAGACTGACCAATCAAGTTAAAAGGTTAAAGGACCAATCAAATTAAAGGACAAGCAACCAATTAAATTTGGAGAAAGAAGGCAACATCCAATCAACAAAAGAGGGATTTCTCCCCTTCATTCCCGTCAGCCTTTCAACCCAAAACAACATGCGTGATCACCCATTTTTCAAGGCCGATTTCGACCAACTCAGGTAGAGTTTTTCGACGCCACCACCACCATCTTGAAGCTCTCATTCCCCTCTACAAAACCCACCCCATAACCACCTTGATTAACCACAGTATGTGGTGGTTTGAGGCCACGATAGTTGACGGCTCTCGCGGTGCTCCAACCACCCTTTTCAATTTTCCAGTGAATCGACAAAGCGATGGCCGATGCCACCACTTGGGCTTTGTAACCCATCATCCCAGGAGCAAATCCTAACCAACCTTGACCCCGTTGGATCACTGTAAACGACGAATCAACGCCGGGGAGCTTTAGGCACCCGCCAGCTTTGTGGGAAAAATTGACCATCTTCCATCCATTTTTGGACTTCATGGAATGTATGAAAGTTGTTCCTTTCTTTGAGATCTTCATTCCTGTAAATTTTTGGTAATTTTTAGAAATAATTGAATTTTTCTACAAGTCGGGGAGGTCGACAGCCGTGTGCAGCGGCGTGTGAGCTGGGTCACCCCCTCACCTTCCTAAGCTAAGTTTGACACCTCAATTCAATATGTGTAGTCCGATTGTTGAAATCTCATCGTTTGAACATAGTTTGGTTAAAGACTGCTACTTGAACATTATGTGAATTAACGACCCAACCGTTGGATCGTCACCAAACTTTAATACATTATAGTACGTAATAAAAACTACGAATTGGGATTCTGACGTACAGATCTTCCCAAATTGGATTTATAAGTTTGTAAAATATAACGTTGACCTCCCCTTGAATCGGCAATTGGCGGAGATCCAACTGTTGGATCGTAATGAAACTTTAGTATGATGCCCTAGAAGTATAATGTGGATCTTTAGAAGTTACGAATCGGAAATCCGAGATGCAGATCTTCTGAATTTAGTTATGTAGGGTTGTGGACCCTACCGTTGATCTTTGATCGACGGTTGCCTTTTGGTCAAAGGGGTCTCAAATCATTCTAGAACGTCCTTGGGATGTGTTTTATGTAAGTTACGTGTTTTATTGATAAGAGTTCTGAGACATGATTGAATATTTGTTCTAGGTGATGGTTGTTTGTGACGTCTCAATATTCGTGCTAGGGAGTCGTAGCGCAAACCTCAGGTGAATGGGTATTCTCATTTTTATCGTATATATATAATTGATGGTTCCACAAATGCTTTTAAATTGATTCATGCATTTTATGCCATGTCTTATATATATATATATATATATATATATATATATATATATATATATATATATATTTATACATATTCTAAAATACTATGATATGGTTGGATTTTAGATTGCATCATGGCATATCCATATGCATATTACCTATATATAATTGTTGTGAATGCTTTGAAGTGCTAAGGTGAACACGGGTCGTGCAAGTAAGTTCAGGTGAGTTTATGGTGTTATCTGGAATGAATGAGTTATGGCATGACTATATTTGTGTTTTATGCAACTCCGACACTGTCGTACATATTGCAATAATAGGCAACTCCGACATTGTCGTACATGTTGCAATAGACAACTCCGACATTGTCGTACATGTTGCCTATGAGTCGTATAGGTTTCATTAGACAACTCCGACTCATGTGTTATCATAGATTGATTTATGAGCTGTATAGGTTGCGTTAGGCAACTCCGACTATTGTGTTATCATAGGTTGATGAGCACCTGATTTTTATGCTGCTGCCAATATGTAGTGATTTGGAATATTCTTGGATTTACTAACATTCGATTTCATACTTATACGTTGTATGATTTCCTGGGAACTATATAGGTATTACAGCGAGGGATTATAACGTTTAGAAGGTCTTTATTAAAGCGTTATTTTCATGCCCACTCACTCTTGTTTCTTTTTTCCCTCTAGGTTCTAGTAGTAGAGTTTTCGTATCGACGAGGATTCGTGGCAAATCTTGGTATTGGAGATTACCTTTGATGGTATGATTTTCAATCCACCATACTGTACTTTACTTATGCTCTGACGTCACGAGTGAAATTGGTTCATTCCTGCTCACAGCGCACTCTCGTATTTAGGCACTTCTAGGTTAAATTTATTCACATATTCAACATTGTTACCCTTATGGCTTCGTCACCTTCCAGGTGTTGGCTAACACAACTCAATTCGGAGTCCTATTGGACAATATGGGTCGGGATGTGTCATTTGGGTACATATATTTCGGTACATACATTTAGGTACATTAGTTTAATATAATATATTTCGGTGCATACATTTGGGTACTAACATTTAAATACATTAATTCAATATAATACATTTCGGTACT